CACCTTGGCTTAGCTATCAAACCATGACCTAGGTCACACCAACTACCAATAGCTTTAGATTGTGTTTGGCAAACGATATGGTAATTTAGTATTATTTTTTTTTTTAAATTTATTTGAGTTGTCAACAAAACCAAAAAGCCAAAATAAGTTATAAGCTAGTTTGTTACTAAGATGTTTTTTTTTTTTTTTTTTGTGAAGAACCTCTTCAGACCTCTTATTGTTGTGCAGTGCATCACACACGCAACACTTTTAATTTTGTAGTTGTTTGTTTTTTAGAAGTCTTCAGAGTTAAAAACATCTGCGCGTTTTCTGTTTGGCGTAACACTTGTATTGCCTCTTCGAACATCTTTTTTTTTTCTTACTGGAATCTTGATTATATGCTGTTGAAATCTTATTTTATATTTTTTTTTGTTTATTCTTGTTGAATTTTTTCGTTTTTTTATATTGAATAATTATAATTTCTTGATAAAACATCATTATTTTTAACTAAAATATATTTATTTTTTGTTAAAATATCATTATTTTTTATTGAAATATCATAAATTCTTACTGAAATGTCATACATTATTAAATTTTCGGTATTAAAAAAACTATTTTCAATTTATAAAATCAGTTTATTTTGAATTTTTAATATTTGCAGTAGCATAAGATATTAAAATATATATATATATATATATATATATATATATATATATATATATATATATATATATATATATTATATATATATATATATATATATATAACAGATTTCATGAATTTTTGCTTTAATAATAACACCTCCTTTTTTGACATTCTTCAAAATTTGAGGAGCTTTTGACATTCTTCCGATATTACCCTTCAAAATACCTGACTTATTTATCCTACAAATCTGTTCCCTCCAAATCGCAACAAACTCATAACGTTTTCCCTCCACCGTCGATTTCATAGTACCAAATTTTCAAGTCGATTTCTTCAAAGCAATCTTCAATCGGCTTCATGGTTAGTATCGTTTTCATACCAGGTAATTGTGTTTTTATTATGTTAATCGTAATTGCTCATTACAATGATTTGTTATGCCTTTGATAATTCAGTGTCATAACACAAATGTTCTCTTTTTAATTCGGGTTGTCAAAGCTTCAAACGGATTCAAGGTTAGTAATCTTGTTTAATCAACTTGTTGTTTCTCCAATTAATATGATCTGGGTAAGCAATTTTAAAGTCATTTATATGATTTCAAGTGTGGGGCAATGCGATTGTCTCATTGTCTGTAATTGCCTACATGTAATATTGTAATTGTATGCCCTTCTTTATTTCTTGGTTCCTAATTGTATTAACCAGTTTCCTAATTACTAACAAGATAAGTACGTCCAAGAGTTCATAACCCAATAAAAAACTTGTATTATAGATAAATCTTAGCAACATGTAATAATTGATCTACATTTAATTTATATACGGTTAATCTTATCAAATACATCAACATCTTTATTTGCTCTTGAAACAATTTGATCAAAATGTCATCTAAGCTAAGCCCAAATCGCCATTAAAAAACCGTCATAGTAAGAACCATGTTAAACGATAAACCATTATGCATCTTGTAAGAAGCTAAAAGATCATCAAGGTAGTATAAAACCGTAAATTTTTTTTTTTAACAAAATCAGTTCTTTTAATTGATGCTCACATTGTGTTCAACAAAATGTCTGAAAGAGATGTCAACCATATGGCAGAAAATTACTTAATGGATTAGCCCAGCAAATGCGGAATATACTAGTACTTGGGGTCGGATTATGGGTTCCTTTATATTCGGGTTAATAGGAAAAAATTAAAGAATTATAATTTATCAAGTAGCTTTATATAATTTCTGCCATTCCTTAATAATTTCATGGAGAAAAACAATTAAACTTTTGGACTTTAAATTTCTATGCATCCAATATTTTTTAAAGAAATATTGGTTAACTATATCACAAGTACTGGGAATAGAAGATGTTCATGTTGGAGACAATTTCTTTTATTTTTTCAACTAGGTTACAACCTGTGGTAACCACGGATATAAAATTTATAAAAAAATTATATTATTAATATGAGTTAAGTTTGTTTAACACTTTTTCTATTGATTATTTAAAATTAATATTAATATATATTTGTAAAAAAATATATAAATTTGAATAGATGTTAAAGAGAAACACAATGAATAATATAAATTACAATGCCATATAAAAAATAAAATATAAAAAATGTGATAAAAAAAATAAATAAACACAATTGTTTGAATTTAAAAACTACGAAACATTTATAAATTTCTGAAAACTTCCTTACACACAACATTAGTATTATTTATGTTAATTTATTTACAATGTAACCATCGCCTATTTCTTCCAAGTTCCAACAACTAACCCTTTGCAAAACCATTTTTTTTCAATAAAGTATTATTGTTTTTAGCAATGATAATGAACTATTTCTACTATCATTTCATTTTATAATATCGTCTTATGTTCAGTGTTTTTTCCTTAATATCATTCTACTTTTTCCCTTAATATTGTTATTTGTTTTGATAAGAATGGTAGATTTACAAACAAAAATTCCAATGTTGTGTATAAGGAATTTTTTAGAAATTTATAAAAAAAATTGCCGTGAATATGGTTGACACATTTGTAAATTGAAACTTCAGTAATATTTTGTGGGTTATTTGTAAAGTTTTATTGTTAAAAACGAATTTATAACCAAATATGCATAAAAACCGATTTAAGTAAATTGCAAGCTAGTTTCTGGAAAAAAATTAAGTTTTTATTTACATAAATTATAGGTATATCTGGAAAATACTGTAGAAATATGAGTTATTACAAAGTAGTTAATCGAGTAGGGGCAAAAAAGTAAATTATGATGCTAATTATGTATTGTGTTACAACAAATACACACAAAAAAACACATATGGAAATAGTATATGTTCTTATGAAAAGTTGTTAAAAACACAAATCTTATAAAGTACAATGTTATATTCTGCATGGAATGAAAGTATGCTACTATTAAGGGATAAAAATGCAGAAAAAATTAAAAAAAAAAATAATTATAGAAGGTTGCCTTTTTATTTTGTGGATTATTTGTAAAGTTTTATTGTTAAAAAGGAATTTATAACAAAAACTTGTTTTGCTTTATAAGTAATGGCAAGTGATTTTAATTTTGATTATGAAAAAACTTGAATATATATGCTTCTATAAGTAATTTTGATTTAATATCTATGTACTGATTTTTGTTTTTAAATTAATAGTATCAAATTTATGAACCGATTAAGACTTATTTTGCTTTATGTGGCATAGGTTTTTTAGGTTAGTTGTTCAAATGGCAAGTGATTGGGAAACATGTAAGAACAACACCCTATAACCATGTAAAAGTTTCTCCGTTTTGTGTTTTAAAAAAAATTTACTAAAAGTTTCATGTTAAAAGTAATACTTTTGTTATGGATATCACTATAACCATGTAAGAACAACACCCTAGCGAGACACATGCATTTTCAGATCAAGATGATGGTTAATATTAAACAGAAATAGCAACAGCAAGGGAGCAAATAAAGGTCGCCATGTTCTGTCCACGATTGGGAAACAGGGGCTTAAAAAAACAATTTAGTTCATAAAGAGAAATAGCAACAGTTGAGCAATCACACACATGCATACACATTAAGAAGCAGAAACAATTTTCAATTATGATTAACACACGCATACACATTGAGAAGCAGAAACTGATGTGAAAAAAACAACACAAAAATTTAAAAAAAAAAAAAAAAAAAAAAAGAGATAAACGAACAATCTGAAAAGTAGGTTTTTTATAAAGTTACCGAAAGGATTGAAGTCTGGGATTGAGTGGACGATTTTTTGACTGTGATGATTGTAAACCTTGGAAACACGATGTTGTAAAGAAACGATTGATAGCATATGTTTGAATTATATATTGAGCAGAATACGATAAAATTGAATGCAATTGATATGATACCTTATATACGAAATTGGATACCATAGTAACATGTTATGAATCGGGTATGTAATGAATTTTTGAGTTAATATGTACAGCTGTTATAACCGAGTAAATGGAAAGAAAACAGGGCGTTCTATATATTTTGATTTGTAGTTGAAACAAAGTAGGGCTATTATCGGTATTTTACTTTGGAATTATTCTGGTGTTTTGAATGGACACGTGGAGTTTTGGTTTTGTTTAAAGCATCCACAATGGGGGGGGGGGGGGGGGTTAATGGAAGAGTTGAATGAGGTGTCATGTCTAGTTGTCATTCAATGGATACAACTCCACCATTGTGAAATACCTCCTGGGCATTCAATGGATTTGGAGTTCAATGAACATTGAATTGAACTCTTCAATGGGAAAAAGGAAAGTCTTTAAATCTTTAAATAAATATTTTTTGTAATTTTTTTAATATGTTCCATTGAACTTGTAGAGTTTAATGCATTGTGGGATAAAAATGAATAGAGTTGTATGGAATAATGAATGATGATGTGTCACTCCATTGAACTCTATAAAGTTCAATGCATTGTGGATGCCCTTATTAGATAGGGAGATATCTTGTTTAAATTGAGATCATGTATGTCTAACATGAAAAAAAAAAACCTAAATAAATTACCAGAATGTTATGGATAATGAGGGTGTCAATCCTTAATATGGTAAGGTGTATCACAGGAAAAAGAAAGAAGCATCAGCGATTTAGAATTTTTAATTTAAATAAGTTAAGAAAATTGTTTACTTTTTGGTGTTGGAATCGTTTAAGGATTCTGTTAGGATTGAGTTTTTAGTTCCCATGTTTAAAAGATTTTCTAGCCTTATTTAAAGGGTGTTTTTGGGTGAAATAAGATATGCTTGAAATCAATTATTTTAATCTCTTAGAATAGTTTAACCTAGTCTCCTTTCCAGGGAGATTAGGTCTTAATAATACTCACGTCTGCAGGAAGCACAACCACAGAGCTGTCACGAGATCTAAATCCCGAGGCGTATCAAGTTTGGTATCAAAGCCAAATCTCGTGATGTCTGTCTCAAACGATGAATTGATGAAGAAATTGGAAGAGTTTATGATCCAACAAACACAAAACAGAAATGAATTAAAGGCCAACACCAATGATCTGAAGGCGGCTATGGTAACCCTGCAGTCCAAGCAAACTACGATAGAAGATGGATTACAAGCACAAAGTCAGAATAAGACATACAAACAAGGGGAGGATGAAGACAGTGAAGAGATGTGTTTCGAGGGGGAGAAATTCGAGGATCCACCAGAACAAGGTTGAGGAAGGGGCTGAGGGTGGACTTTTGGCATTGACCCAAACAGCAAGTGGACTTACTTTACAGGATCAATCGGAAGCGGCAGAGGGTAGGTCGAAGAAGGAATGGGACGAGGATTAGGAAATAATTTTGAGTCTTGGCGCACTGGAGGACAACAACCCTTCAAAACCAGTTGGCAGTCGACTAAACCCGAGGGATCCAAACGTAGGGGACTAGAATCACCAAAAGAAGGGAACGATAGTGGGGATACAGGATACCGCCGGGGGGGGGGGGATTCCAAGATTCGCCAAGATGGAGTTTCCGACCTATGATGGAAAGGGTAATCCAATCGAATGGCTTCAAAGGTGTGAAGATTTTTTTTGAAGAGCAACAAACTCCCACGGAGGCTTGGGTGAGACAGACCACCTTTTCACTACAAGGAAAAGCTAGCAAGTGGTACCACAACCTGAGACGGATGAAGACACGCTTGAACTGGTTTGAGTTTTCAGAAGAATGCAGAATTAGATTCGGACCACCAATGAGTATGGACCCATTGGGTGAATTGACCCGTTTAAGGCAGTCCGGTTCAGTGGAAGACTACTGCGAGAATTTCGAGTCCTTGCTGGGAAGGACGACAGGAGTAACTCCTGACCAAAACATATGGCATTTTCTGTGTGGGCTTGATCAATGCTATCCGCTATGAGGTAGAATTTGCTAGACCCACTACGATGTACTATGCCATGAATCTCGCTCGACAAATTGAGCTCAAACTAGTAGAAGAATGTCGCCCAAGAAGTTTTGGGGCACCCTTATCAAACAAGAACAGGAACCGAGAAGCAACCACGGGTGGGACCGGAACCACAAAGTCAGAAACTCGCAACCCAACTTTTAAACGCCTCACCATAACGGAGATGGCGGAGAGACGAGCTAAAGGCCTTTGTTTCGATTGTGATGAGATGTTCTCTATTGGTCACAAATGTGCTAAACTGTTTTGCATCATGATGGCAGACAAGGAAGAAAATGATGATTATAAGGAAGACACCCCCACAATATCGCTGAATGCAATCAAGGGTGAGAAGACGAAGCAAACCTTTCAGGTCCGGGCCAAGATTGGGAATGGAATTGTGTGGGTGCTTTTGGATAGTGGAAGTACCCACAATTTCATAGCAACAAGGGCAACTGAACAACTTGGGGTAACCATTCAACACCGACCAGGACTACGGGTCGCACTTCCAGATGGGGGTAGAATGGCCAGCAGTGGGACCAGCAAAAACTTACCAGTAGAGGTACAAGGGTATAAATTCCAGGCTGATATGTTTGCTATTCCTTTAAAAGGTTTTGATATCGTATTAGGTATCCAATGGCTACAATAACTAGGAAAGATATTATGGGATTTTACGGTTCGGGAGATGGAGTTTACTGTTAACGGGAAGAATATTCCCCTGACACAGCAAGCTTGGCCGTGCTTACCAAAAATGATAGTCGAGCACCAAATCTAGACGATCTTTTGGAGGAATTTGATGATATATTTAAAACACCACAAGGGTTACCCCCCTCTCGGCCGTGTGACCACCGAATCCGCCTCAAAGTCAACACTGAACCAGTGGCTGTCCATCCTTACCGTTACCCTCATCTTCTTAAGGATGAAATCGAAAAGCAATGCACAGAGATGTTGAGAAGCGGGACTATCAGACCTAGCCAATCTCCATTTTCCTCACCTTTACTACTAGTCAAAAAAACAATATAAAACGTGGCGTTTCTGTGTAGATTATAGGGAGCTCAACGCAAAAACTGTGAATGATAAATTTCTGATACCTATGGTTGAAGAGCTTCTTGATGAGCCGCATGGTGCGTCGGTCTTCACCAAGTTAGATCTTACGTTGGGATATCATCAGGTACGCATGTTCCAACCTGATATCGAGAAAACTTCTTTTCGCACTCACCATGGACACTTTGAATTTCTCGTGATGCCTTTTGGGTTGTCCAACGCCCCGTCCAGATTCCAAAGCTTGATAAACGAAGTCTTTCATGTGTATCTACGAAAGTGTGTCCTCGTTTTTTTATGATATTTTAGTTTATAGCCCCTCTATGTTTGACCATGTGGCTCACCTTCGAATCATTTATGAGCTGTTGCGGAAACACAAATTATTTTTAAAACGAACTAATTGCACGTTTGGAAGCTGAGAAGTAGTTTATTTGGGGCACATTGTTCACGGAAACGGAGTAGCAGTCGATCAAACGTAGATAGAAGCTATTCGTGATTGGCCAAAATCACACAATGTTCGAACCTTGCGTGGGTTTCTCGGATTAATGGGATACTATCATAAGTTTATCAAGGATTACGGGATCATCGCGGGTCCATTGACGGGTATGTTACATTGTAACAGTTTTATGTGGGGCCCTGAGTCCGAACTCGCCTTTACTCAGTTGAAAGACGTGCTCTCCAACTCCCCAGTTCTTGCATTACCATATTTCACAACAGTTTTTATTGTTGAGTGTGATGCATCAGATAGTGGAATTGGGGCCATCTTGTAGCAAAACAATCACTCGGTGGCTTTCTTTAGTCGGAAATTGGCTGATCGACATCACAAGTTTCCGACATATGAACGAGAGCTAATGGGTTGGCTAAAGCCGTGGCTCATTGGCGGCCCTACTTATGGGGGCGACACTTTTTGATCAAAACCGACCACTACAGCCTCAAATTCTTGCTTGACTAACGGCAAACAACATCCCCACAACAACATTGGGTTAGCAAATTACTGGGTTTTGATTTTACGGTCGAATATCAAGTGGGATCATTAAACCGAGGAGCAGATGTGCTGTCAAGGAGAGAGGACCAAATCGAGACCGGAGAACTCTTTTTGATGTTAGATTTGCAACAAAAAATACTCGATACTCTACGCGTTCAAATTGAAACTGATGATGAACTTCGGGAATTGCGAAGAAGGATAATTGACGAAATCGAGGACAGTAGGTGGACTGTTAAAGACGGGATGATCATTCGTGACGGGCGAGTGTATTTAAAATCCAGCTCTCCGCTGGTTGATGAGGTGGTCTCGGCAGTTCATAATGCTACTCATGAAGGGGTATAGAAGACGATGGAGCGGATACGTAGTGATTTTTATTGGAAGGCTACCATCCAAGTTTTTATCCGAGAGTGTGTCGTGTGCCAACGAAATAAGTGGGAAGCCCTCCAACCAGCCGGTCTTCTTCAGCCTTGTCCCATTCCGGAGTCCGCATGGTCGGATATTTCAATGGATTTTGTCGAGGCGTTACCCAAGGTGTCGGGTAAATCAGTCTTTCCGGTGGTAGTAGATCGATTTTCTAAGTCTGGTCACTTTATTCCCTTGGGCCATCCCTACACTGCCGAGTCTATCACTAAAGCCTTCTTTACGGAGGTTTTTCGCTTGCATGGTCTACCGGAAACAATAGTTTTTGACAGGGACAAAGTATTTCAAATTGCTTTTTGGAAGGAGTTGTTTCGCCTATCTGGATCTCAGTTAGCTTTTTCCACAGCATACCATCCTCAAAGTGACGGTCAAACAGAGGTAGTCAACCGCACTATTGAAATGTATCTACGATGCTTGGTGGGAGATAAACCCCGCACATGGTTGGCCTGGTTACCATGGGCAGAGTACTGTTATAACACTTCTTATCATACAACATTGAAGACTACACCATTTAAATTGGTTTATGGGCGTGATCCTCCCAAATTACTTTATTATGTTGCAGGTCATTCTAAAGTCGAAGCAGTGGATCAAATGCTTATTGATCGGTCAGAATTTTTAGCTGTTGCCAAAGTAAGACTTGCTGAAGCTCAACAACGCATGAAATTAACTTATGATAGTCACCACAGATAGTTGGAATTTCAAGAAGGCGATTGGGTTTGGTTAAAACTCCAACCCTATCGACAGCTCACTGTGGCTAAGTCGAAGTTTACGAAGCTTTCTCCAAAGTTTTATGGGCCATTCCGAGTGCTACAACGAATTGGATCCATCACATATCGTTTAGCCCTTCCAGAGGGTAGCCGTATCCACAATGTGTTTCACATATCCCTCTTAAAACCCCACCAAGGAGTGCCACCATAAGCTTTTACTGCTTTACCACCCCTGGTTGATGGTGAAACCCTACTTCAACCTTATAAGGTGTTGCGTGCTCATTGGTATGAAGGAGTGCCTGAGTTACTGGTTCAGTGGTCTGAAGGAGATGAAAATGATGCGACTTGGGAAAGGCGGGAAACATTTCTAGAAGCTTATCCTGATTATGAGCTTGAGGACAAGCTCAAATTGGAGGGAGGGAGTAATGTTATGCATAATGAGGGTGTTAATCCTAAATATGGTAAGGTGTATCACAGGAAGAAGAAAGAAGCATTAGGGATTTAGAATTTTTAATTTAAATAAGTTAAGAAAATTATTTACTTTTTGGTGTTGGAATCGTTTAAGGATTCTGTTAGGATTGAGTTTTCAGTTCCCATGTTTAAAAGACTTTCTAGCCCTATTTAAAGGGTGTTTTTAGGTGAAATAAGATATGCTTGAAATCAATTATTTTAATCTCTTAGAATAGTTTAACATAGTCTCCTCTCTAGGGAGATTAGGTCTTAATAATACTCACGGCTGTAGGAAGCACAACCACAGGACCTATCACGAGATCTAAATCCTGGGGCGTATCACAGAATTTATCAATTATTACTCCTTAGGCTTGTGAAACTGAAAAAAAAAAAAAGTATTAAATTTTGTTTTCTTCCCTTATGAAATTTAGGACGCCCGATACAAGGGTTTTGCAAGAAATGTGGATCCTATGAAAAATACGGAACAACGAGAATATCGTAAAATTTTATGATGTTTGTATCGGCCACAACTCATGAGATGGTGAGAGATAGAAGATATTTTTACAAAAAAAGTTGGTTAACAATGTAACTTGAAATATTAAAGAACAAGAATGATAGCATTAATAATGGCACCTTAGGAAATTTTTAAAAACGGGAGAAACTGGTTTAGGTTGGAATCTCACCACCAGAAAGCTAGATTGTTCGGGTGAACGGTGGGATAGAAAGCTAAAGGTATTACTTTGATATTTTTATTTGTAGTATTGAGTCTTCTTTTGATATTATAGTGTCTTATTAACTCATTTTTCAAGAGAAATCCAATGCAAAGAAGTAGCAACACAAGGGAGTTTATCCATAGTTTGAGCATGTGTTTCCAACCAATGCTCAAGAGTTTTTAATCGTGTGCATTCATCTCTTAGAAGTTTTACCGAATGTGAATGATATGCAGAGGGGAGGATGAGGTCACCGAGGATGACATCACCGATGAAAGTAAGGAAAGAAACAGGAAGGGATTGTGAATGTGAATGATATGACTTTGTAGGTGTTTATGGCAGATTCGAGGTGATGTAGGTAGTCGGATTGGGTGGTGAGATTATTTAGGGATTTTTAATGAAAAGGATTCCAATTAACTTAATAACATAAATAATAATAAAAATTTAAAAAAATATCATAAGGACAAAATAATATCTTTAACAGTGGCAGAGACCAAAGATTCCAAAAAAAAACCGTCCATTTAAAAGTAATAATAATAATTATGAAGACCAGCTATGCAGATTATCACAAACTACTACAAGGACCGTATGCAGATTAGTCTAGTTAATCTTTATATCTATATTTTACAATATCACCGATATAAAACAATGCACCAAGAATGGGGTTCAAATACTATTTATTTTAATACAACATAAAAATTTATTGTATACATAGTTTAAGAAAAAAATATATATACATGTTAAAGATCAACTCCTGACACGCACAAAAAAGTTTGGTGGAAATTTCGTTGCATTCCTAGTTTTGGAATTGTCTTAATGTCTTTAGCGTTTTTTTTTTCTTTCAAAAAGGCATTTTGATTTGTAGATCACATGCTATTTTATATTTAACTCCCGAATCACACAAAAAGTGGGGTGCGATTTAGTTTTGTACGACATTTCGTGTGCTTTACGACTAATATTTAAATACTCGTAATAAATTTCGAATCGACGGTTTTTGCTTGAAGTCAAACCAAGGAAGCTTCCTCTAACAAAACGACTAGTTTAAAACTTATATCGTTAATAGAGAATTTCTATCTACTTAACTTTGTTTAAAGATAAGAATTCTAGTATATTTTGATATATATTTTAATAATAAATTACTAAGTTAAAACTTGTAAAAATATTGGGAAGGTGCAACAATGGGCGATAGAGGGTCACGATGATCATGTTATGATTGTCAATCAATAGGTAATAACTTTACTTTGGAAGCCACCAAGTTAACAATTAACAAACTCATAAAAGTTAATATCGAAACTTAAATCACACCTCAACAAGTGTAATCAAACATCAAACACTATATAATATATAACACCGATTGGCTCCCACGACCTCTTGGTAAAAACAGTAATCTAAAAATCTGATTATTATTATTATTATTTTTTGCAACTAGTACAACATTTTTCCATTAAATAAATTTAATTATTATCGTACAACATTTAAGATGATAAACGGGCAACAAGCTGCGCATCTCATATAAAATAAAATAAAAGGGAACCCTAAATATGTAATCTGAAATGTAAATACGATGTCCGAAATATCTGATTTCAAATTGTTTTATGTCTAATCTGAATAGTCCGATATATAATTAGGTTAGTTGGAAATTGACAATTTTCGAATAAATGATTATTTTTTATAAGATCGTATAATAATTGACGTGAAAAACAATTACTAAAAAACGTTACTTTTTTGTATGCTTTCATCATTCGTCTGAATGGTCTCAAATTATCTCATTAAATTCCATCGAGTTCAGGTATTCCGTATCCCACAGCGAAAAGTGTGGATGTGGGTGTAGTCTGGTCGGCTCCACGTTCGTCTATATATAGAAAAACCAATTCGAATCTAAGAAAGCAACTTCTTTCTGAAAGTTAAACTGCAAGTAACTGTAGCCGCCGGCATATTCCAGCTACTCCGCCGTTCTCTGCAGAAGCTAGCAACAAAATCGATAATGGCGTCGGATCGACAGCAATTCGAAGAAGGGAGCACCAACGACTACGGATCAGAACTAAACACAAGTCCCACCGACGAGCTTGCGGCGGTCTCCGCCTTAGCAAGGTAAAACAGTAAACACACTCTCCTCCGTCACAGTCGGCGCTCGTAGATGAGCTTTTAATCTCTTAGAAAAAAAACAAACAGATCGAACGCTACTTCAACGGTAGCGATCGTATTCGTGTGTGATTTAAATTTGGGGGAAGGAGGCATGAGTTCTAGAGGAAACTCAAAATCAGGTCTCGAGAAACCTGAAATTGGAAGGTTTTCTCGCTAATAGTTTTTTGGTTTACCTCCGTCTCTGTTATAGTAATGGTATGCTTTGTTCTGTAGAAGCGCAGGGGAGTTGATGATAATCCAAACGTTACACCGTTTCATCGGGCCTGTTCTTATACCAATCCTTAAGCCTCTGATTCGTGAAATTGTAAGTTCTCTGTCTCTGTATGAATCAATATTGATGACCTGTTGTTGTTGTGCATAAGTAGAAGATAACTGATAGTCCATAAATTTCCAGGCAACGGAGCAGGTTGGATTGGCTGAGCTTTTGGCTAGAATGAAAGAGTAAATTTAAACCAGTTGTTATCCAAATAAAGTGGAACCTTTAATTAAATGATCTTTTACTGATATACATGAATTGTATGATCATCAGGAACCCTGCAAACGTGGCAAGTACTTCAGTTCCCAAAAGACTAAAGCTACTGTTCAGAAACAGGATTTCCCTTCCAGTATACACAGGAAAGCGTCTTTCAGGAGAGAATGGAAGCACCATTGAAATAGTCTTGGTTGATGCTCTCACTGAGCAGATTGTGAATACAGGGGTCGAATCTACAGCAAAACTGGAAATAGTTGGTTTTCGTGTAGGTGATGATGGTGATGATGATGATGATGATGATGGTTGGACATTTGAAGACTTTCAAGAAAGGATTCTGAGTGAAAAGAAAGGGAAACGCATCCTCCAAGGAGATACTTGCTTGCAGCTAAAAGAAGGCGTTTGTTTCGTGAATAAGATTTCTTTTACTCATAATTCAGAAAACACCAAAAACGGTTTGTACAGACTAGGGGCAGGAATTGTGGATGCTGCGTTGATGAACAGAGTGGAAGTAGCAAGGACAGAAGCCTTTCTAATGAAGGATGGGCGCACTACTTGTAAGTATCATTCTAATATTAGTATTAAGATGGATCCAGTTTGCATAAAAGTAATTGATATAGTGGTGTTAATTTGTGTGTAGATTATGAAAAACACCCTGACCCACGTTTGTCGGATAAGGTGTGTTGTTTAAAACACATCAGCTATAAGGGTCCACGCTATAAACAACTGAGAGATGAAGGGGTGTTCACTGTGAAGGATATGCTGACTCTTCTCTACACAGATCCAAAACGGCTTCAAGATGTAGCTACATATTTCTCTTATCTTTCTATTTCTGTTGATATAGACCTCTACCTACTTTTTCAGCTTCAAGGATACACCCATATCATCCACTTCCTCTAAAGAACATATTCAATTTCAACAGAAAGCATTTTCTTTCTTCGTACTAGATAGATGCAATGCAAGAAATAATGCCCTGTTTCTTGCGTAGGGAATTGGACTACAATTGCAATTAATGTTAATGGCACAAAAGTTGCAATTGTTGTTCCACCAAAAAAGGTGGGACATATCTCCCGTCCGTGCAAAAGACGTGAATGCCCTCCTCGTCATCCTCATCGGAAATACCCTAGAAAGCTTGTTCAGTCTAGTCCAGTTGAGTCTCATCCTGTGTAACAAACGCAATCTAAATGTTTCTAAGCTTCGTTTTTCATGCATATTAAACAAGAACCTGCCTACTCTAGCTAATATTAATACAACGTATTTTATTTTGACATTTTGCAGATTCTTAACCTTAGAGCTTCTTCTAACATCTGGAATGACATTGTAAACAATGCTCAGGCATCCAATGGGATGTTTTTGTACCTTGATCCAAGAACACAAGGGAAAACTGGTGTGGTTCTTAATGCCAAACTACAACTGAAGGGATTAATAGCAGAACCTCATAAGTATGTACCCGTAGACCAGCTATCTGCCAAACAAAAGGTAAATTGGGGCCTCTATATGTAAATGACCATTTTGCCATTTAGACACTTGAACAAACAATATTCACTTTTTATCTCTATTAACAGGTGGACAATAAAGAGTTAGTGGTGTTTGCATCTGAACACTTTAAGACACTCCGCTCTTTTGAAGATGAGACTTGTCTTAAGGAATATCTTATTTCGTGCTTACACACAATACCATCTCCCAACCAAAGTTTGGTGACTTCCAATGTGATTGATGGACCACCAAGAAATGGTCTCACAGACAATTCTAATAAGTCAAACTCACTAGCAGCCTCTGAATATGATAGGGGGAAAGGAATAGTCCATGTTGATAATGAGAAGACATATTCAGGGAACCACCATGAAAAAGATATGGCAGCTTTAGAAAGTCCAATCACTGAACAGCATGCCCATAATCCTACAGAGCCAGGTACCTCTTTTCAGGATGTTGAGTCACCAGTGCATACGTGTGAGCATATGAACAATTCAACTGTCCTTGGTCAGTGTATGGACTGTTTGTTCAATGACCCAAATTTCCTTGAAAATATACACGACTTTCTAAACCATGATTCTTTGAATTTCAATTCCAACTCCGATGTTATGATGGTGACTACTCAGACTGTTTCCATCTGTACTATTGAACGTGCCCGGACAAGATGGACAAAAGTGTCCAAATTGCTTAGGCGGAATTCCGTAAGGGAAAGGATTATTAGTCTTACAGAAGGGATTCAAGCTCTCAAAAAGCAGAGGTGTTGTTAAAATGGTATGTCATCATTAATCACACAATTCAAGATTGTTTTTCCATTGCTGCCTAACGAATCTCATGTACAGTTGTACCATTCTTTTTATCTCTTATGTTTGTAGCATATATTTGGTTATTGATGCTTTTGTCATTGTAAGCACATCACAATTCTTACATGTATATATTATATATATATATATATATATATATATATATATATATATATATATATATATATATATATATATTATTGCATCAAGTTGCTATTGTATATAGTACAACATCTCTGTGTCATGCCTTTAAAATATATGGACATGAAATCTTGCATCAATTATTACATCCTACAACTCTTGCTGTCATCGCATATTTCATCCTGCCAATTTTGAACCAGTAAATTAATTTCAAAACTCTATTACTAGATGTTGATAAATTAAACAACCATTTATAAAATTGATACCAACCTTTTTCTTTCTAGCCTCCAAAACTTGTTCTAAAGGTGGTCGACCTAAATACACAACAATGTTAACCAGTGGAAGAAAAACTAAGGACATACGTATGAGTCTAGCTAGTTGACAAACCTGTGACTTGAAGACGATATTTAGCCCAAACACCATAAACAGCATCGGCTATTGTTGCCACCTGTCGATAACATGTTTTTAGGATCAATGTCCAAGTGTCACCAATGCAAGCATGACAGGTGTGATTTGGTGAGATGACTTACAGGCTCGTATTTGGTAATTGCATAAACCCATCCAAGATCAACTGCCTCATATAACTTCCTGAACGCCTGATTTGAACTAGTTTTTTTTTATTATGTTAAAGTACAAAAAACCATATGAGTACCCAAAAGAAACTTAGAATAATACCTCAACATTAGTGACTACAGTTCCATCAGACATGATTGCATGAATCTTTCCCATAGCCTAAAAATGTTGATAGATGTTATACTACTGCTATGAACTGGCTTTATAAGATAAAATCAAAACAAGAACAGACAATCAAAAGCTTCTTGTATTGAGTAAAATCACTCAAAGACACCAAATAACATGGATATAACCCTAATGTTTTGCTAGTGATTTGAGAGCCTAGCCTCTCCCAGTGCTAAGATTACCAGATTTCACAAAAGATAATGCCACACTCCTTTCCTCTTCCCTCTTGTAAACATTTTTTATAACAAAATACCTAAATTGCCCCTCCACTAATAAGATTCTCTTTATTTGCTGATTTGTCTATATTACCCTTGTCTAACTACGTGACTGAAGTGGATGTGTAGCAAACAAAAAGAATCGTACAAGATATTACTAACATACAGTTTCATAGTCTAGGCCTTGATTATCCTCTGGTGAATAATCGTCTGAACTTATATCAACAAAGTTGATTGCGTTGTAGTTCTTATTCCTTTCCTTTAGAATGTTAACCTAGCAACAAGAAACATGATTAAGTTTAAATAATGCTCGAATTGATAAATCATGGTTTTTGTATATACACAACTGCATACCTCACGCATGCAAAGTGGACAATCACCATCATAAAGCATTTTAACCTTCCACTTTGGGGGAGATTGCATTTGATCTCCATTTTCCCCTTTCGTTGGAGTTATAGGATCTGTTGTTGCCTCTTGTATTGCTCTAACAGAAAATCGGAATCCTATTACCATTAACAATAGTATGGAACGCATCTGATTAGTAATTAGTGAATAATATCTGTAAGTGAAGTTTTATTTGATTATAGAGGCAAACTGGAAGGAAACCAGATTCAGTAGTCAGCAGTATCAATAACTACGTTGAATTTCATAGAAATGTTCGTTTATACATGTGCGATTAAAAAAGCAATCGAGAATTCAACACATACTGGAGATGCAAAGTACACAAACATAACTGAGATCAATTACTGATTGGTTTACCAGTTGGAGAAAGAGGGTAAGAGATGGATCGATGACGATGATTTGAAGCAGAAACCACAAATGGCCGTAGATACAAATTCGCAGGCGTCAATTGTCGCCTTCCGATAGAACCTGCTACTGCCCTAAACGCCATCGAATTGTTTGAATTCACCTACGTTTTCCCCAAAGAATCGAGTGTTTTGAACTCAAAATAAGGAAGGAGGAGCAGATGGCGGTTTTAGTGGTAGTTGTACGTGGCGCCACCTTGGTCATCCAGTTTTCACCAATCGCGGTTTCACCTCGTGTCTCATGTACACGGTGGAACACTAGCCACTACGACATGTTTACGAGAACCAATCACATAGGTTTACTGAAATAAATAAAAAATAATTTTGTCATTTTTTCCTTTAATTTACAAAACTAACATTTTGCGGTTATCAGACACATATATTTGCCACCTGTCTCAATTATTTCAATTTTCATTTCTAATAATATATTATTAATTTAATTTTTATAAATTAATATACTATAATGATTATATTAATTTTAAATTGTAAAAATTTACAGTTTAACATTTTTTTATAGTTAACAAATACGAGTCTAACAAATAATCACATAATTTTAATTTATTTATTTTTTGTATGTTTATTTATTTTTATTTTTTTTTTTCATAATTTTCATTTATTTCAAATTTCAAATATAAATAAAATTTTCGTTACTCATTCGTATTTAACATTTTGTTTTAATTAACTTGTATAATATATAGATATGACACGTACTAGTTTATAAGAGTATTGACTATGGACCACTAGTTATAACATCATTTTGATGCCACTTCACTAATGATATTATAACATCAAGTAGGAAATGGTCACCATGTTAAGAATATATTATAGCAACAACTTTTTTCTATATTATAATTTCTTTTTTATTTTTTCCCGAATTTATTTTCTTTATTAAAACAAATATATTTTAAATAAAACATAATATCTAAATAAAATATAATGTTTAAAAAATAAAAATAACATAGCATTTAAATTACACATGACATCCAAATTTATTAAAAAAACATTACAATACAAAAAAAAACATATTTTATTTTTCATAAACAACGTTATTCGTTATCGTTACCGTCATCTGCAAAGTTCTCTCAAAGTTGTTTGTGTTTATTTGTAGGGATGAGCAAAGGAACCGACCCGGGAACCGAACTTGGTGGAAAATAGGAACCAAATCAGACCGTCAATTCTACTGGTTGTGGTTCTTGTCATGTCTTCAATGTTGGAACTGGTCCTCGAGAAATAGCAACATATGGGTCCGGTTTTTGTCGGTCCTATCGGTTCCCGGTTCCACAAATCCATAAAAATATCGTCCCGGTCCTGACCCGACCGGTTCCATCGGATTCCGGTTCTAGCACCGATTCCGATCGATTCCCCGATCCATATGCTCATCCTTATTTATTTGTTTCATGAATGTCAACGAATCTATGCAAATATTATGTTGTTCCTTGTTGAAATTGAACATGTTTGAGTTCTGTTAGGATATAGTGTGCAATATTTCATCATTTATCTTCTACTATCATGTTATGCATTATGATACATGCATACATGATATGTCGTAGAGTTTCTAAGTCCAATGGTCGTGTTACATGTTCAACTATGTGTCACTTTGCCTTTAGCACTCCAAAAGGACGTTCCACATTTTTATGTGCTCCTTATTGTCTTCTCTTGAATAATTTATCTCTTTCTTCAACCGGGTGTCGGAATGCCTTCACAAATGTGGAATACGGAGGATATATTCCATCTGTACGGTAATACCCAAATTTGTATTCGTTTACATTCACTGTGAAAGCAGCATCTGGGACCTTTCCACTCAAAAGATCGTCGAATATTGGTGACTGATCAAGAACATTGATTTCGTTGTTAGAACCCGCAATCCCGAAAATGCATATCAAATCCATAAATCTTAGGAAGCAACAATCTCTAAAACCAACGAATGTGATCCATAATAACCACTTGCATAATTCCATTTCCATGCTACTGGACAATTTTTCCATTTCCATTGCGTGCAATCAATGCTTCTAATCATTCCGGGAAACTCGTGTCTTTCTTCATGTGATGCATAAAGCTCTTGCGTATCATGCAACGAAGGTTTCCGCAAATATATGTCTCCAAATGTTTCAACAACACCTTTTAACAATCTACGCAAACTTTCCCTTGCAGTTCTTTCAAACATTCTCATATAGTCATCAATGGTGTCGAGTGACTCCCCCATAGCCATCAAACGAATGGCAGCAACACATTTCTGCAACGTTGTAAATCCTCGCCTACCTCTAGCATCATGTCTCAATTGAAAAAATGTATACCTAAACATATATTAACTATGGTTTAAAAATATAGTGCATTTGTATTAAAATTAAAGAAACATGTAGTACATTTGTATTTAAGCTTAAAGAAACGATAAGGCGTTGGTGATCCGTAGGAACACATTCCTACTCAAACGAAATATTCTTTTGAAGTCCTTCGACCCGTATACACAATTATCCTCAAAGTAATCATGATATAGATGTTCATGTCCTTCCTCGCGATTTATATTTAACAGCATATGTCTTGTTAGTAGTGGGTGTTGTGATAAGTCACCGGCTTAACTCCGTCTTTCTGAGGGTGGAAATAAAGGGCTTGTGGATCACAACAAAGAAGATAAGACCGTCATTCGTCGTCCCGGAACGAGGCTCTGACAGTCAAGTCAGTGAGGGTCTGAGAGAGATAGGGTTAAAAGTGTAAAGAGGGTGTTAAAGGGTTTTGATCTCGGCCCCTTCTCTTGAGGGAGATGGGTGACTTTTATACCTGTGGCAAAGGGGGAACAGATCCTTGACAATACTTTTTGCTTTTTTAGGTCCTGTGAGAGCCAAGTGAACTCTGATTGGAGAACCATGTTCCACAAGCGGTTGCCTGCCATTAGCGTATGTTTGTCACGTGTGATGCTCTAGGGACCACGCCTGTCGCCTTACGAGTGGGTTGGTACTATTTTGTCGCGACTCTGGCCTTGATGCTTGGGCGCTTAGGAAAAAGTACATAAGCGTGAGTGAAGGAGTGAGCGCGAGGACCCAATGTTAGTTCTTCATCGCTCAGATTCGTTTGTTAGACCCCACGCCTGTCGCCTTACGAGTGGGGTACGTCAACAAGTCCCCTAGGCTAGTAGACATCAGCGTTTTCTTAGGGTGGCTGAGTAGTTCTAGCTTAGGTCTGGACACGCGTCGGATGGGAGCGATTCACAAGGTGTTTCCATCGTAATAGATCTGTTTTGTCGAAAGAGTGTCGTTTCAATTTTTTCTCCCTTCTCTTCTTTTTGAAATGTTTATAAAGGTCCCTTGCTTCTAGGAATGGTTACGTGCTTCTTCTCTCCATAATCTCTCGTCTCAACCTTCTTCGTTGTTTCTATTTTCTCTTACATTTTTCCTTTCTAATTTTCGAAGGCTTCCTGAAGATCTGGAATTCTTCCTACACCCGAGGAGTTCAAGAGTCTTCAATTCCGGTTTGGGTTTATGCCTTATGGGAGGATCCTTTGGGTTGCTTAAGGACTAAGCATATGGATTAGGGTTTTGACTGAAACCCTAACTACTCAGCTATATAAGGAACCCTTAGGGTAACCAAAATCGGACACTGAACCCTAATAAGGATAGCCAGCCCTTACTATGAATTACGAGTTCATGCGATGTTGTAACTACTTATTCATGCGATGATACCCTAACCCTTACTGGACACGTATTGACCTTAGAAGCTATAGATTTAGTGCCTTATAATAATACGATGGTAGCTATGGATTTAGTACAGTGTAGATGAACCTTGGTAGCTATGGATTTAGTATTGTATAGATGAACCTTGGTAGCTATGGATTTAGTACTTGATGTATGAACCTCGGGCAGCAATGGACTTCGTGCCTATTCTTTAGGTCAATCCTTAGGAATGAATAAAGGAAGGATAGATGATTCTTAGGGTAGATCCTTAAGAGTAAAGAAGATAATGGGGAATGGGTAATTGGGTTGACTGTTTAATGATTAAATTTAATAATTATATTATTGTGGGTTGAAAACCCTATATGCTCACCAGGCTCCCAAGCCTAACCCACTCAGTTTTCTTTGCATTATAGGTAATGGCACAAGAGTATAAGTTGGTGGACTTGACGAGAGATTTTGGATTATAGATCAGTAATTATAAATTACTGTTGTAAGGTCTATTTTATATTGTTTATGCTTTTGGTCTATATCGGAACATGACATTCCGAGATTTTGTTATTTAATGAAAATACATTTCTTTAAAGAAATGCTTGGATAAATTCTTATCGTATTTGTTTTGGGAACAAATTCCGCAACTCTTTTAATCAAAGAATTACTCTGATTTTATAAAACAAAGCATAAACAAATCGGTCTTTTTCTAGCCGTGAAAGGTACCTGAAGCGACATCGACTTCTTCTTTTGCAGCTTCAAGTGTCATCTGAAAGGCTCTCGCCTTCGGCTTTGGTGGTAGATTGGGCTTTGCTGCATCCTTCCTCTTTAGACAGTCTTTAAGAATATGCCCTACTTCATGACACTCAAAACATACCCTCTTATCGGACGAACACAGGTTGGCATAATGCCCATTCTTTCCACATTTGAAGCAAGTCACCTCCTCACTACATCTCCCAGAGTGCTTTTTCTTGCACTTCTCACACCATTTCGCTTCACCTCCTCCTCCTCCAAACTTCTTGGACTTAGAAAATTTTCTTTTCTTGTTGGAACCTAAAGTTCCTTCAAATTTTCTCTTTTCACCAACTTCTGCCCTCTCTAGACCCTTCTCTTTGATCTGAACCTCAACATTCTTAGCAGCCCAGATGGCGGCTTTCAAAGTGGTTGCTTGCTTAACCATCGGACCAAAGTCCGCTGGTAATCCAAGGGAAAACTTGTTGACCTTAGAGAGTTCAGTTGGAACTAGATGAGGAACTAGCTTCATCTTTTCCATAAAACTAGCAGCGTATTCAGTAACGCTCATCTTTCCTTTCTTTAAATTCTGGAACTCATTATTGATTTCCAGAAGATCTTGCTCAGAGCAGTACCAATTTCAGTTGTACCACAAATTCTTCCCAAGACATCTTACTAGCTTCTCTCTTGGGCATCGAATCAGCTAGTAACTTCCACCAGCTCAACACACCAGACTTTAACAGAGGAATCGCAAGTGCGGTCTTTTGTTTGTTGCTGCACTCGCAACTTTCAAACATCGTCTCCATTTCGGAGATCCAATTCATGACTTCCACCGGTGTCGGACTCCCAGATAGACACGACGGTTTAGATGCCATGAAATCCTTGTATTTGCATCCACGTACATCAACTCCTTCATCATAGTTGTTTTGTCTAACTATCTGTGGGTTGGCT